GGCGGGGGAATTAGTCAGCTTATACCAGGATCTTCATTCCCCAAATACGGCATTAGCACTTTGGTTCTGCAATTTACATTTGGTTAAGGCTACACAGCTCCATGTCAAGGGATGATACTATCATTTTTGCGAAACCTCCATGACACACTGTATCAGGGCATGCCATGACACTTCCTTGTTATTGACATAAGGGCTCAGGAGTACCATTACTGAAATACTGTTCTCATTTCAACATTTCCCATCGATCATTGGCTCATGTATCTGATCTATACATTGTAGTTGCTGGAATCCTCGAGGTCTTCTTTCACAAGTCCAGGGGACAGCAACTACATTGTCAGAGAGCCTAGCAGTTACAGCACCAAAAGCTTGTGATCTTAAATAAACCTGTTGGACTATAACCTGGTGTTGTGTGACTTCTGATTCTGTTCACCCCATTCAAACACCAGCAAGCACCTAAACATCCAGAGGGAGAAGCAGCGGGTTACAATTCCCCACTGCCCCAGTGAAATGGAAGAGAAATATGAGACCTTGCCTATATTGACTTTGCTTTCACTTTCTACAGCTCTTGGAAACATAGCACACGCCCAGACTAAGGACATCCTGGAAAATCATTACGAATGATGGAGCAAGTCTTGTGTTCAGCAGAAATGGGTAGTCGTCCAATCCCAATGGCCATTAAGGTTATTGCTGCCTCCAACTTCAAGGAACAACTGGAGGCCTCTGCGGCATTCCTGAATCCTTAGTCTACAAATGCATCCATGATATCACTGATGCCACTTTCTCCAAATTACACCTGTTCATATCCTTCCCCTGTGTCGATTCGATTTGATATATTTATTGTCATGTGTACCTAAGAAGAGTGAAAAGGTTTGTTTGCAAGCAGTACAGGCAGATCATAGTAAGTATGGATATACAGATGATAGGGTGCTTGGACAGAATGAGGCATATAGGTTACAAGGGTCTAGGCCCGAAATGTCAGCTTTCCTGCTCCTCTGATGCTGCTTGGCCTGCTGTGTTCATCCAGCTCTACACCTTGTTATCTCTACACTGCATTTGAGGTGTGTGAAGCAAGATCAACATTATTTGAAATTAAACAGTCCATTCAGCACTCTAATAACGGCAGGGAAGAAGCTGTTCTTGAACCCGTTGCTGCATGTATTCAAGCTTCAGTACCTTCTACAAGCACTTCCGTCAGGCAGGAGAGCATTACTGAGGTGGGAGGGGGCTCTGAGGTTGGCAGCCTTTCTGCAGCAATGACAAGTGTAAATGGAGTCTATGGATGGGAGGTTGGCTTCCGTGATCGTCTGGGCTGTGTGCACAACCTTCTGCAGTTTCTAACAGGCCATTATGCACCTGGATAGTATGCTTTCTATGGTCATCCGTAAAGGTTGGACATGCTGAATTTCCTAAGCTGCCTGAGGAAGAAGAGGTGTTGTTGTGCCTTCTTGACTGTCACATCTACATGAATGGGAAGTCTAGGACAAGATGTCAGTTATCATCACTCCAAGGAACTTGATGCTCTGAACCCTGTCAACCTCAGCTCCATTGATGTAGACGAGGGCTTGTTCTCCTCCTTTCTTTTTGACGTCAATGATCAGTTTGTTTATTTTGCTGACATTGAGACAGAGTTAAGCAGCTTGGGTAGTGGGATTCTCTACCATCACTGCTTGTAACCAGAGAAGGAGCAGAGCATAATGTCCTATTTCTTCAGGTCATCCATTAAACATGGTTGACACACATACGAATGAATAGGAAAATGAGGTCCATGGACTGGGAACAATTGCCTTGTTTAAATGGCTGGTGTTGGCCTAGACAAGCACAGCCACATAGAAACACACAAATTAGGCGCAGGTGTGGGCCATTCAGCCCTTCGAGTCTGTTTTACAATTCAAATACAGTCATTGCTGATCATGCAACTCAGTATCTTGTCTCACCTTTCTCCACATACCCTTTGATCCCTTTAGATCTAAATGCTGTATCCAGCTCCTTCCTGAAATTGTACATCATTGGCCTTGAGAAGCCTCAGCACTCACAGAGTTAAAGAAGGGATTAAAAGCTCACACCACAGTTGCCTGTCCATTTTTCCTGTGTGTTGAACCTCGTCAATAAACATTTAAGAATTTAAATTTAAAACATTTAAATAAATCAATCCTCTCTCTAGAACACTACATATAATCTGGATAAACTACATTTCTTGTTTCACCTACTGCAGTAAACAGAACCAGAGCCCAAACATGAAAAGCCGTCAAATTTTACATTTCAAATTTTACTCAGATCTAAGCAGGTTAAAGATACAGCATGGACATGTTTAAGAACTCAGTTAATGCTTGTGAGAGAAAGACAGCTTGTGAATACTTTGTCGAGGTATATATCCACATGTTTCACAGGAGAAGGGGTTTGTAGAATTGCTCAAAAATTAACCATGGGAAGTTTGTTTGGCTAGCACCATAGGTTGTAAAAATGACAGGATATGCAGGTTTACAAACATGAGAGGAGATAGGACCTTGCCCTTGCCATTCACTTGAGCACGAGTGGCAGAAAAAAGTAACAGTCTGATTAACAGGCTGTTGAGAAATAATCTGGTGATCCTTTAAAGACACCTGGCTCCACTTGAAAGAAAGGCCGGAAACCTGCTGTTAACACTCCATCTATTTGAATGGCTGCATTGATTATTGCATGCCTGCTGGGGAAAGAACTACTTTGATCTAGGATGCTGAACCTAGCATTCAGTTGGAATGGCAAATTCATTTCTGGTTTTTCCATATCCTCAATTTTTTATTTTCATCTGTACCTGAAAGCAGGGGTAAGGGATCCACAAGTTCAAACTATTTCTCGTCCATCCACCAAAGACTACTAAAGATTCAGATAAGGACACTAAGATGTTGGACGTATTTACAGTTTAATTTTAAATACTGCAAGTATTACTGATTACTTGCTATAACCATTTTTTTTTATTGATTAGTATTCCCAAGAGCTGTACTAAAATGTCTCATAATTATTGATCATCCTGATACTCAAAGATTATCAGAGCGCATTGTTAATGCTAAAAGACTTTTCTTAATTTTAATTTTCAGCACTAACAATATCAACCAACAAGGTGACATCTTTGTATATCAGAATGATCTGGACTTAATGAACACTCTTAAGAGAGTGAGGTTCATAAAGCACTTGACTTAGGCTAGTCAACTGATTGATGGCTAAACCAGCTGTGCTCCAGATTGGCTCAGAGCTGTGCTCCTTGGCCTGGAGAGTCAAATATAGGGCCACAGCAGAGGGGAGAGCAAGAATAAGGCTTTTTTCTGGAGTTGTTCAGAACAAATAGAGACTGTAGAATCAGCACGGCAAAGAGAAAGCCGAAGTTTTACATGGATGAAGTCAGAACACCATCGCACCCCTTTACTGTCTTTATAATTCTGTATAATGGGACATGTCTGCCAGCAGAAGTCATCTTCACCATCTTCAAGACTAGTTGTAGAAATAGCCAGTGATTAGAGGGCTCTTGTTGATGCAGTAAAAAACCGAGAGACGGGGCTAGAGAAATCAAAGTCCATAAAGCAAATATTTTAAACCCAAGCATTAATATGCATCAGGACTTTCTCCACAATGCCCAATCTGCTGCTTTGCAGGAAACCCTGGCATGATATGTAACCTGGGTTTTCCCAAAACTACTGAAGGCAATTGAGAAAATGCCCATGAAAAGTCCCAGCAATCAACCATAAACCACAAGTAATATTTTAAATTTCCCTCTTCCACCTGTAAGTTTTATTTTAACTATTATGTTGAATATTCACAAATAAATAAAAAGATTGATCTTATTTAAAAATTTATATTATTATACTGGTTAATACAATGGAAATGATCAGATTATAATTGTAGCTCCCATACCTTAGTTTTACTGCCCTCTAGTGGTTACTTTCCTTATCACTCAGATGCATCAAGAATGATGAAGAAATGATCAACGGCATGATAACAGAACATTGCCTAGTTATGTGGTACACGATGGTTAAATTGAATATTCCCAGACAACAAGAGGATAAATGTTCTTATTGCAGAATAAACATCTTACACCTTGCCAAAAGTAAAATTTATCAAAAATCTTTAACTCCTGACTCATTGCCTAGCTCTTTGCCGTTTTTACACGAAAATGAGCCAGTGTCTTCAACCCAGTGTTCACTGGGCAGCAATGACAATCCTGAACATTTGGCCCGAGCTGCTTTGGCCCCAAACCTCACCTTTTCCTCACAAAGCAAATGGATGCTAAAATAACCATAACCCTGTTTTCCTTTCCAAAGAAGGGTCACTGGACCTGAAACGTTAACTTTGATTTCTCTCCACAGGTGCTGCCAGACCTGTTGCGATTTTCCAGCAATTTCTGCTTTTGTTTCAGATTTCCAACATTCGCTGTTCTTTCGTTTTTTTTTTGTCTGCTTTTCTTCTTTTGGGCTGTGCTCAAGTCAAAGATTAAAGCTGGTCCTTTGCTGTCTGTGCAGCCAAGGATTCCACCATATGTTTATTCAGTAAATGAGGGCTTGGTCTACCACACACTGAACGGATATCTATAATAAACATTAGAAGGAATTATTCAAATCTGCAATCATAAAGAATCAATTACAGCCACAGTATTACAGTTTGTAGAAAAATAAAGAATTAAAAAATTGATTGAAAGAGTAAAGTGCAATGACATTGGAGGTAAACTCTCGTAATACATGCTTGAAGTTGTCCTGGGTTACTGATTACTGATGTACTGAACTTGATAAACTGACTTTAGTGAAGTATTCTGAGACAGATATTTTCTTCTCATGTGTGTTATTTGTCAAATCAAACAGACATAATTAGTAATAAATAAGAATGAAGTACAGTTTCACAGGGCTTTTATTGCAAAATTAAAATGTAAGTGCATCTCTAAATCCAGCTATGTTTGTTCTTTATTTACATTTATATATATTTGGATGTATGAACAATCACAGATGCAATGATAGCAGGTTGAGTATTGTGACAGAGCTGATGAACTGCAATTTACGGACAACATTTATGGACACCACCAATAAGCGGCACATAGCAAAAGATGAGAGTTGGACCCAACCAATATAGTGCTGCCACTGATATGTTTGTACCTCCTGAGCCTTGAAAGGAAAACTGGCTCATAACTTTTTCAGCTGCCTTTGCTTTGTGCTGAAGATTGTTGTTCTATCATTTTCACAGACCCTAAATAACTATATTGTTATAAAGCGGAGCTTGACCACACGCCCCCCTGGGTGTTTTTGTTTTATTCATCAAAGAGGAGCGCCTCGCCCTATAATCTGTGAAAAAAGGAGTGTGAAAAGTGGTATAGCTTGCCTTTTAGCAACTTGTAGTGATTAAATAAACCCGACACCCACTTTTCCAATCAACAAGTTACAATTTATTTATCTAACTCTAACTGTGAACAAATTAACTAAATTATTAACAAATTGAATAAACCCCTTCTAACTAACTATTCCCAAATAAAACAAGATTCTAATAATATGCTGTTCCAATAAATAAAAGTCCCACTTATGTAAAAGAAAATAGAATTTAGTGTCTCTCCAAATTACAGCCAGGTTACATGTCTTCCGGAATGTTCTGTGCCTTCTCCGTTGAACGTTCTGTCAGGAACGCTTTCTCCGTCAAATGCTCTGTAAGGAATATTAACTAGTTGTGCTGTAAGTACCTTCAATTTAGATGGTGCTTTCTCTAAAACTTAGAGAAGACTGTGAGAGCCAGCAATTCTCTCTTGAGAGCTGAGAGCTGTTAACTCTGGCAGATGGTAATTTGCTCTCCAGTCTTTGCCCAAATGCCCCTTCTTTTATGCCCTTGATGACATATCAATATTTCTTACAATAGGATTGGTCCTATGTTGTTAAAACCATCAGATTTAAATTTAATTGGTTTTTGGTATCTAAGTGCCTGGTTCAAATTGATTGGCTAAATTCAAATCTTGTCTTGATAGCAAAACAAAACTGCTGCTTGGTCTGCTAACTGTATGGCCTTTTCATACAAATGTTTCAATTTGAGTGCTCTCTGTACTCACAGACCTTCAAGCTGCCCACAGACATTTTTTTTAAATCTCTAAGCATATTAAAAGCACATCAGCTTTTAAAGGGACCATGCAATGCTTTCCCCTCTAGCATTTTACAAACACCAAATTCTAACTTCCTGCCTCCTAGACCACAAACACTCTAGCCAACTTCGCAACAATATTAAAAGCTGCTTTGAGTCCTGCCCTCAATGAACTATCATCTTATAAACAGTAATTATCTACATGGTAACAGCCAGGAGTGGCAGTATTACAGAGTCAAACAAGAAGAGTTTGAGGAATCGATCCAGCTTCCTGCTTTCTGAGATACGTAACTCTGATTGAACATTAAATGGAGTGTTTCCCTTCAGGAAATACTATGAACAGGGATTGATTCCCACAGAACGAGCGTGCTGGGAACAAACACTCCAAACATTTTAATTGTAAATGATTGTTCAGCTGCTTCACCAACTGCAAAATTTATGGGCTGGTGAATCAGGTACCAAATGTTAGAGCCAACGAAATGCTGTGATCTGAGTGTAAGTTTCATTTTTATTCTGTTTTAAAAAATGATGACTTATGATAAAACTTTGGCATATTTTAAAAATAATCCATCTGTGGGGGTCTGAACAGAAAATGAGAACTTAAAATCAGTATATTTTTGCACTAAATTTGATTAACTTTCAGATTACGTTGTAAAGTGCACAATTCTGAAATAATTCCATAATGTTACAAATTTATAACAGATTGCATAAGAAACCATCAGACAGTATTTTAAAGTGAATGAACATATTACATCACAAAAGTGCACATTTTGATAAATGGTCATTTTGATGGAAAAGTCCAGGAAACATTCAGGCTCTGTTTATTTCTTAAGAATGTAGAGACTTAAGCACAATAAGAGAAAATACAAAAAGACAACTCAAATGATCAGCAGGTACTTCCTTTTCCCACTAGAGCCAAATAGCTAAAGCACATCCCGACAAATTGACAAAGGATGGAACTGATTAGCAGCATCTTGCTAGATGCCAACATTAGCGAGAGTTGCACTGTCCACTGGCCAGGACGCCAGACACAAGTAAATAAACTGGCATATTAAATATGAAAGGTTTACTACTTTCTGAAATAAATTATGGCTAAAAGCTGAACAGAAGTATGACAGGACCTTATCCTGGAACAAACAAACTGCAGTATTGCTTCAAGGAATGCATTATGTTAACTGTTAGCATTCTTTTAACCTCATATTCTCTATAAACAGTTTCCACCAGGTTCCACTTCACTGCATTTACCACATACAGATTTAATCTGTGATATCATTTCTCCTGTATTTAGGTAACTTCCAATGAAGAACTTCTCCATGATTTGTTTGGATCAGCTTCTTGTGGTTCTGCCAATTCTGAAACCACATTTTCATTCTGGAGTTCTCAATCGTTGCTTCAGTATCAAATACTGTCAAAATAAATGAGGTCACCACAGTGAAAGGATAAATCTCTTTCTCTTGTGCAAAATACACACAATCAATTTCTTATAAGATTGCACCAGGAAGACAGACTATTTCAAAAATATAGCATACTGATTCAATACATTCCTTCAATCACATACTAACTCAATACTTACATTTTTACGACTAGCAATAGCCTGTTGCAGCCACAAGAGTTCCATTGCGAGGCTGCTTCTGTACTTCTGTATCCCTTCTAGTGTTGTTGGCATTTCCTTATTTTGCAATTTGCGCAACGATTCTGCAAATTCAGATATGAACATTTGGGAGAATGTAGCTTTTCACCAGTTCATTCTTCTATTTAATTACAATTCAGTGTTAAAATGGAAAGGAGTGTTTTTATTCAAAAATTACACCCATTTAATAAAAAAGTATACAATCATTTCATAATAATGTTTTTTTTAAAATCAAAACAAGTGTTGTGGAATCTGAGATAGGCTCATGGTTCAAAACAGTTTGCTAGTAGTGCAAGTAATCAGGTCCAAATAGGAACACTTTCAAACATAAATACACGCGGAAGACAGCAGAAATATTTTAAGGTTTTCTATAGAAAGCAATTGCTTCCTATCATAGCGTCTAATGTCTCTGTGAATAATTCCAGAACTTCAAGACCCATAATCAGACCAAAAGGTCAATGGTAATTATCTGCAGAACTTACTATTTCAGAACATTTCGTGATCATTAGTGCATTATGGAAAAAAACAAGTTTAGTTATCCCTTTGGGGTAGAACTCACTGGATCTTGTACATTACCTGTACTGAGACCGATGGTTGAATCCTCCAATACTGTACTGTTCCAAACTGATGTTACATCAGTAAAGTTCAGTGTAGTATCAGATTCTTTCCTCTCATCACCACTTGAAGGGGACGCTTTTTCCATTTCTAAAGGTTGAATAACACCTTCAATTTTATCGGATGCATGTCCCCATGTCGTAGGAGCTCCAGTCAAAATTCCAGGAACATCCAGGTGCTCAGCCAATGCAGGAAAATTTCCTGTGATTGAGGACGTTCTGATTTCACAATCATCTTTTTCTGGTTCATCGCCCTCAAATAGTCCACAAATTCCATCTTTTTCACCTTCAGGGCAAAATGTTTCACATGCTGTCCTCTCAATGACACTGCTCATGCCTTTTCTTTTTGCATTCTGTCAAAGAAGTAAAAAGAATTCCTATCACACCAAATTCCAGACTTAATCCTTGTAGAAAAGAAAACTTAATTGTTGCTAATGCTTAAAGCCAGGATCCCTCAATTTACTTTAGCCAGGAAATGATGCCTACTGAAGTCTCCACATAAATAAATGTGCACATGTATGTTATGTGCTCTTTATAGAAGTTAGGTCACTACAGTTAGGAACTTTCAATACTGCTAACATTCAATAAGACTTTTCTGCTGTTCTATCAAATCTACACATTCTAGGCTTCTAGCTTAAGACTTTCCAAACGAAACAATGAAAAAATGATTTTAGCCAGTGATCTATACTGTATCATCAATATTCTTGAAAAACAATACCTCAATTTCCATATCACTTTTATCTTACAAACAGGAATCAAGTTATTGCATTTGTTATAGCACCTCTGGATTGGATTGCACATCAAGACAACATTTCACTGCACCTGGTACACCTCAAATCCCAACCATGTCATCAACACAGCATTAAAATCAAAAATTGCTGGAAATACTCAGTAGCTGTGGGAGACATGTAGAGTCAGTGTTTCAGGTCTGTGACCTTTCTTCAGAACTGAGAACAATTCGAAATGTAATGAGAAGATATTGCTCATTTTTAATCAAAGGTTAGGCTGTTTCTGTGGTTTGGAGGAATGATAAACATTAGAGATTTTCTGAGTCTTTCATGGCTTGGGAGCATTATTGGCAAGGCTAACATTTATTTATGATTTATGATTGGATGTTGTTATATGTATTTTACAGTGGAAAAGCAGTAAAATGCAGTGAAAAGCTGGTCCACAGTCACCACGATGCAGCGCTATTTTGACTGCTTTAAGAATAGGTTAAAAAATTGAAAGATATATCTTGAAGAGAATCCATCAGTCCTGAGCCAGCTCATCATCACCGACGCCTACACCACCATTCCTCCTTCATTGCCTCGCTGCCATCTACACTGGACCCAACCAATATCGAGGCTGCCATTCTTCAGGCACTATCTTTCACTGCTGGGCTGATTTTCCTCTTGCCAACGTCTCATCACATGCACCAGAGCTGCCAACATCAGAATCATATCTCCCGCTGCTGGGCCCAACTTGATGATGTTCTTGTGATGTCCTTCCACCACTACTTCACCGCTGACAGCACTAGACCAAACCCAATCACGAAGTCGCCCATCCTCAGGCTCCATCTTTCATCACTGGACCTACCTCACCGGACATAATTGTTATGTAGCAGCTGCCGACTTTTTAAAAAACATTCACTGTTGGGATGTGGGCATTGCTGGCTGGCCCTAGTTTCCCTTGATGTGGTGATAGTGAGCTGCCTTCTTGAACTGCTACAGTCTGCCTGCTGTGGGTTGACCCACAATGCCCCTAGGGAGGGAATTCCAGGTTTTTGACCCAGGGACAGCGAAGGAAGAGTGTTATATTTCCAAGTCAGGATGGTGAGTGGCTTGGAGGGGAACTTGAAGATGGTGGTGTTCCCATGTATTTGCTGCCCTTGTTCTTCTAGATGGAAGTGGTCGTTGAGGATCTTTGGTGAATTTCTGCAGTGCATCTTCTAGATAGTACACACTGCTGCTCCGGAGCATCAGTGGTGAAGGAAGCGGATGCTTGTGGATGTATTGCCAATCGAGTGAGCTGCTTTGTCCTGGATGGTGTTGAGCTTCTTGAGTGTTGTTGCAGCTGCACTTTATCCAGGCAAGTGGGGAATATTCCAACGTGACTTGTGCCTTCTAGATGGTGGACAGGCTTTGGGGAGTCAGGAGGTGAGTTACTTGCCACAGTATTTCTAGCCTCTGACCTGCTCTTGCATTTCAATGCCAGGTCCTGTATTTGCCCCGGAAAAATAAACAGGGGCCCACTCACCGCCACCACGGGGTGCATACTGGCACACTTGGGTCCGTGCTGGGATTCCTCACCGCTGCTGATAGTAAGTAAAGGGATGTAACTAAGTAAAGAAAAACAACAAACAAGAGAAAATAAAGAAAAGTGGTCAGAGCGGATGAGCTCCTGCACAAGAGCCCTACTCTGCTGCCATCTTGATGATGTGAGGAGGCAATTCCTGACCATTTTATGACCGTTCCTTATTGCCCTTCAGAAGGTGGTGATGAGCCACTTTCTTGAAGTGCTGTAATTCATGTGATGGAAGAACACAACCATGCTGTTGGGGTCAGAGTTCCAGGATTTTAACCTGGTGACAGTGAAAGAATGGTGATATATTCCAAGTCAGGGTGGTGCATGACTTGGAGTGGAACTTACGAATGGTGGTGTTCCCACATGCACTTTATCTTGTTCACCTACACTGTAAAAGGTTGCAGGTTTGGAAGGTGCTGTCAAAAGGGACCATGGCAAGTTATTGCAATGAATATGGTAGCTGCTACATACGCTGCCACTTTGCACAGATATTGGAAGCAGTAAGTACTTAAGGCAGTGGATGAAATGCAAATCAAGTCAGTTATTTTGTCCTGGTTGAGTTCAAGTTTTACAAATGTTGTTGGAGCTGCACTCATCCAGGCAAGTGGACAGCATTCCATCACACTCTTGATTTGTACCTTTTTGGTGATTGACTAGCATCAAAGAAACAGTAGGTGAGTTACTAGCTGCTGATTTCCCAGCTGCTGACTCGCTTTTGTAACCAATGTTTCTTTAGCTGGTCTAGTTAAGTTTCTGGCCGACAGGAACTCTCAAGGTATTGATGGTAGGGGATTCAATGATGGTTTGCCATTGATCGTGACTGGAAGGTGTTTAGAAACTCTCTTGGAGATTTCAAGACAGCGCGCTTCATAATGTTGGTCCAGGATCTGAATGAGATTGACAGGGCAACCCCAAAAATGAAAAATGGAAAACCTCTAAAATAAGCCTGTGCTAAAGGAAACCATATATGGTCTGAAGTTAAAACAATAGCATGTGGCAAAGCCAAGTTGCTAGACCAGAATTGTGCAGGGATAAATTAGATTCAAACAAATATTTTTCTTTATAGACTTAAAGGAAAACTGTTCTCAGGAGAACAGTAGATAGGGATTGCTTTCAGCTCAAAGAAACAGAAGAAGTTCTTAAAAGCATTCAGTCAAATGGGTGATTGAAAGAGACTGAAGTAGTTAGCTGTGAAGCTTTCAAGATTCTTTCCAGCTACATCAGAACAGAAGGAGGAAATAACACAAAAATTTATTATGTTCAGGATATCCCAAAGCAAACCACACACTATGAACTATTTATTTAATGGTAACAATTGTTGTAATTCAATGGAGGCAAGAGTCAACTTGAGCATAACAAGAGAAACAAACAGCAACGAAATAACAAACTGGAGACAGCATGATGATGATTAAGGAATAAATACGACTCAAGATACTCAATGAGATAATTTGCTGTTGTTACAACTATGGTGAGTGGCTGAGTGAGAGTGGGGTGTTGGGGGTAGGAGGAGAGAAAGAGAAGTAGAATTTGGAAAGACTTTCTAAGTGATCTCCCCAAAAACACAGAGGCATTGAGGCTTAAGTTTTATGCTGCTCCAATGTGGATGCTGGGCAGATACCTGATTATTTCAAAGCTGCATCACTTTGCTGTTAAACTGCAGGCTTGTGCCATTTATCAAGACTATCTTATATAATGTATATACTGAGTAACTTCATTCAAAGATTAAGTGCTGTGTGGGGCTTGGATCAGATTGCTGAATTGGTTGTGAAAAGGCTGTGGCTTCAACATTTATATTTCTGCAGAGTGTTTCCTGTAAAATGCAAAAGATTGGTTTTGTTTCTTAAAATTTGTATCAGATGTTGTGATAGGCAAGGTGCTCAAAAAGGTAGCCATATATACAGAAATAAACATACTCGCTGTCCAGTGAAAGGTACCTGCTCCTCAAATTTAGGCCTTGGTAACGCCTTGCCATCCCACTCCAACAAGTGCACGCCTCCCTCGATTTCTTTTACAATATTTTCATAGTCTTGGCGTAAACGCTGGAAGCTTTTTCTCACCAAATAACCTCTAACACAAGCCTAGAAAGGGGACAGAGTGGAGAAAATAAATGCATGTAACAGCAAGAATTATATGTCAAAGACTTTTTTCTAAAATAAACAAAAGCCCCAGCCACTGTACTGGTAGAAATATGTACAGAACTTGTCACTTACACTGGACATTGACCATTCACCAATAAGTCAAAGCAAAATGACTGCAAGACTTCTAAAATAACAGTCAGCTCTGTTGATTAATGCTTCACAACAGATGTCATTAACAAAAATGTTGACAATTCAATAAATACTGACTTTTATGAAAAAAATTATTTTTTAAGCAAGTAGCTCCTATATCATAGAATCACTACAGTATGGAAACAGGCCATTCGGCCCAACAAGTCCATACCGCCCCTCCGAACAGCATCCCACCCAGACCTATTCATCTATCCCTGTATTTCCCATGTCTAACCCACCTAACTTAAACATCCCTGAGCACTATGGGCAATTTAGCATAGTCAATCCAGCTAACCTGCACATCTTTGGACTGTGGGAGGAAACTGGAGCACCTGGAGGAAATCCACGCAGACACGGGGGGAATATGCAAACTCCACAGTCGCCCAAGGCTAGAATTGAACCTGGGTCCCTGGCACTATGAGGCAGCAGTGCTAATCACTGAGCCACCATGCCATTATACAATTCTTAAAAAGAAAATTGTTCACTGTCAGACCCTTAATTAAAATATTTCTACTTAAATTTCAGTGTTGACAGCAATCTTTGAAGGATACTTCTTTTCTCCTTTGTGCTTGGGACAGTTTTCATTTTCGGAGAATCAATGTTAAAAACAGCATTGAGCATAAATGCAGCGTCAGCTTTGCTAAGGAATAGTAATCTCCTCAGTCAGAATCTTGCAGGTTACAGCTTATAGCTACAATCCTGCGCTCAAGTTGAGGTTTGACACTTCAGTGCAGTATTGTTGTTTTGTCAGTGGTGGAGTATTTCAACTGAGACATTAAACAAAAGTCGTACTTGCCCTTTCAGACGTGTCGAATCTGACCCAGCACAGAATTCATCCACTGTTCTGGACAATCTTCAATCAGTACAAAAATTGCTTTTCTGAAGAAGGGTCATTGAACCCAAAATGTTAACTGCTTTTTCTTCACAGATGCTGCCGAACCTGCTGAGATTTTTCAGCAAATTGTTTTTGTTTCTGATTTCCAGCATCTGCAATTCTCTGCTTCTCTTTTCCTAAAAGCAGCTTAATTGGCTGCTTAAAACTTAATGTTAGTGACCTCACTGTCCAAAAATTAACTTGGAATTTTTTTTATTTCATGAATTAATTCACATCTGTAAAGCACTTTAGAACTTAAAGCATATGAAAGATGTTACATCAATTAAGCCTTATTAGAGGGAAAAAAAACAACTTGTGTGTCTGAATGCAAGTTTTATTTCATTGTTCCAATTTATCAACAAGATTAATTTTAATAAACCATGAGAGGGCTAAACAAAGCATTAGGGTTAGGCAGAGGGTCTTGTCATAAAATGGTAGTGTCCCCTATCTCTGAACTAAATGGAAAGGTTTCAAGTCCCATGTCAAGATATTATTGCCACAGACTGTGTAATAACATGTCCAAATGAATTGATTTATTTAAAAAAAAAGAGTTTTGGGTTCACTTTTACTGGGATAGAATTGAAAAGCAGGAATATTATCATACATATAACAAAATTTTGGTTAGACTGACCACATCTAAATGATTCTTGTCACCACATTATAAAAAGGATCCTGAAGCAAAACAAATGATTTACTCGAATAATACAAGAACAATGAGATTATACCCATCCAAAAAAAAATGAATGCAGTGGAGCTCTCTGTAAAAACAGCTACACTTTCCATTCAGAGATTATGTCACATCAACTGAGAAAGTGTTGCTGTTTAAAATAATGGCAGAAGACCTGAAGAGACTATGTATCCTGCAAGGTTGTAACCCTCAGCAACTTTCTAGCATTTTTATTGTATAATTAGAAAGGGATAAATACAGTTTAAGTGAATGGCAAGAATGTGGCAGATGGGATAGTATTTGCTTATCCATTTTAAGCAGAGAAAATAGAATGTAGCATGTGTTTCCAATGTTGAGAGATTGGGAAATACTGGTATTCAGAAGAACCTGGTGTCCTTGTACAGAAATGACAGAACATTAATCTGCAGGTATTGCAAGCATTTGGGAAAGAAAACACCTGTAGTATGTTAACTTTTACAGAAGAGATTGGTGCGCATAAATGTAAAGGACTCTTACTATCTATAGCCTTGTTTGGTCCAGACCAGGGTTACTGCTCCTCACACAATAACTTATATTTATGAAGCAGCTTTGATGTATCAAAACATCCGTTTTAAAATTCTTTCATGGAATGTTAGCATTGCTGGCTAAACCAGAATTTATTGCCCATCCCAAACTATTCAGGACAAAGAGAAAGCTTGAGCTCAGCAGTCCATCTGGAGCAAGTATATCCACAGATTTTTTTAAGGTGGAAGTTCCAGAATCTGGATCTAGTGACAGTGAAAGAACGAGGATAATAGTTCCAAGTGGGGATCTTGCACAGGAATTCACAGGTGGTGACCTTCTCAAGCATCTGTTTCCCTTGTGCTTCTAGGTGGTAAAAGTTGCAGGTTTGGAAAGTGTTATAGGAGGAGTTTCGGTAAGTTACTGAAACATGTCTTGTAAATTATAATGCTTTGGTTGTGAAGTGAATGTTGAAGGGAGTGGATGTGGTGCCAATAAAGCAAGATGCTTTGTCCTGGACAGCGTCAAACTTCTTGAGTGTTAATACAATTGCACTCATCAAGGCAAGTGGGGAATATTCCATTATACTCCTAACTTGTGTCTTGTAGATAGTGGAAAAGCTTTCAGGAGTCAGGTGAATTACCCACTGCAGGACTCCCAGCTTCTGAACTGCTCTTGTGGCACAATATTGCTGGTCCTGTTAAGTTTCTATTTAATGGTAATGTAGTGATTGGAACCAGGGACAGGTGGATCTTAGTGACTATGAGATCCATGATTGGCCCAGGTTAACAATGCCAATCAGGGAGCCCTGGCTGACAGATATAAACAGGAGATTCAGAAGGTCTCCTCAGTCTAAGGATTGACTTTGAGCTAGCTGGTCAGAGCCCATGTAAATAATGGCTGACTTGGTACTGGCCTCTGTGCAGTTATTTCAGTGGCAATGGGAGAAAGCAATATGTGCTGAAGAACATTTGCACACAACAGTCACGTTGGAGTTGGGGTAAGCATTTCTGACATCATGCCTTTTCTTGGGCAGCTTAACTTGTAAATTTAAAATAAAAATCAGAAGGTCCCCTCAGTCTAGGGAGTGGTTTTGAGGTGGTTGGTCAGAGCCCATTTATTGCCCACATGTAAATAAAGTGGGACTTGGTGATGAAATACTTGTGTCTGTGCAATTATTTCAGCCAGCTTTCAGGATGTTGACAGCAGGAGATTCAGCAATGATAATGCCATTGAATGTCAAGGGGAGATGGTTAGATTCTTTCTTGTTGGAGAGTTACCACATGACACTTGTGTGGCAGAAATATTACTCAGCTCTTAATAACCCAATCCTGAATGCTGACTAGGCCTTGCTGCAACTGCATGCAGACAGCCTTAATATGTGCAGAGTTGCAAATGTCACTGAGTGTTGAAAATACAATGAATGTCCCCACTTTTGATGAAGGGATGACAATGATGAAACAGCTGAAGATGGTTGGGTCTTAAAACACTATACTGAAACCCCTCTGTTGTGTGGGAGGGGGAGCTCTTATAGCACAGTAGTAGAATCCCTACCTTACATTAGGAAGCCTGTGTTCAAGTCCAAACTCCAGAGGTGTCATGAGACATGTGAACTCTGAGGAACCAAGGCTGAGATGATTGCTGTGGTTTTTGGAGATCAATCTTCTTTGTGCAAGGTATGACTCCCCCAATATTTGATTTTGGTTTTTTATTGCCATATATATCTAGGTAACAGTGAAAAGTTGTTTGTGTGCAGTACAGGCAGATCATACCAAAGACCATAGGGTGACAGGACAGAGCAAGGAATACAATGTTACAGCAGCAAACAAGGTGCACAAAAAGCAAGATCAACATTAGATTTGAAATCTGAGAGTTCCACTTAGAAGTCTAATAACAGTGGCAAAGAAGCTATTCTTGAACCTGTGGGGAACCATGTTTAAGCTTTTGTATCTTTTGCCTGATGGAAGAGAAGTGTCTTTGGAAGGTTGGCTTGTGTGATGGACTGGGCTGTGTTCACAACACTTTCTCTCAGTCCTGGGCAGAACAGTGGCTGTACCAAGCTGTGATACATCCACTTAGAATGCTTTCATGGTGTATCTGTAAAAGTTGGTAAGAGTCAAATGTACAGCATGGAAACAGACCCTATATCCTAAATTAATCTAGTCCCATTTGCCAGCATTTGGCCCAAGTTCCCCTCAAACCCTTCCTATTCATATACACATCCAGGTGTCATTTAAATGTTGTAATTGTACCACCTGCTACCCCTTCCTTTGGCAGTTCATTCCATACACCTTATGGACATACTGAATTTCCTTAGCCTCCTGAGGAACAGGAAGTGTTGTTGTGCCTTCTTGACTACTGTATCAATGTGGGTAGCCTAGGACAGATTGTTGGTGATCATCACTCCTAGAAACTTGACACACTCCAGCAACTCCACCTCAGCACCATTGGTGTAGGCAGGGGCATGCCCTCCTCCTTGCTTCCTGAAGTCAATGATCAGATCTTTAGCTTTGCTGATGTCGACGGACAGATTATCTTTGCATCATGCCACCAAGCACTCTATCTCTCTCCTGTATTCTATCTTGTCATTGCTTGATATCTGGCCTATGGCGGTAGTGTCGTCAGTGAACTTATAGATGGAGTTCAGACAAAATTTGGCCACACAGTCATGTGTACAGGGAGTACAGTAAGGGGCTGAGTACACAGCCTTGAGGGGCACCAGTGTTGAGGATTGTCTTAAAGGAGGTGTTGTTGCCCATCCGCACTGACCGTCTGTGGGTCAGGAAGTCGAGAATCCAGTTGCAGAGGGCAGGGCAGAGACCTAGGTCTCAGGGTTTGGACATTAGGTTCGAATTAGTGTTGAAGGCAGAGCTGTAGTCAATAAGTGGAAGCCTGACCTAGGTATCCTTAGCAATGCTTGGTCAAATTCTGCCTATGTCAAGGGTTGTCAATCTCACCTCAGCTTTGTAATTCAGCTCTTTTGTCCTTGTTGTTTGGACCATGGTTTTAATGAGATCTGCAGCTGAATGGCCCTGACAGAATCCAAACTGAAACAGTGAGCAGATTTTGTTGAGTAAGTGCCCTTGTTAGCATTGTTGACAATACCTACCTTCGCTTGCTGTTGATCAAGAGTAGACTAAGTGGCTGTGTTTGATTTGACTTGCTTTTTGGGAACATGCAATTTTCCACACTGTCCGGTTGATGCCAATGGTGTACTAGAACAACTTGGCTAGGAGCACCAGTCTTCAGCTGGAATACTGTCAGGGCTCATAGTTTTGGCAATATCTAGTCCCTTCAGTCACTACTTTATATCACATAATGATCATCTTTAATAGCAGAGCAGATTCAAAGGGCCATACAGGCAAATGTGTTTATGAACATTAAAACAAACTTAATTGTGCATTGTTCATTATTTCATTGGCAACCGCAACATCTGATGTACATCCTTAACTGCCCTTGAATTTGGTAGACCATTTCAGAGGGCAGTTAAGAGTTAACCATATTGCTGTGGGTCTGGAGTCACATGTAGGCCAGATAGGGATAAATCTTCCAGCCTTATCTGAGATTTTGTTTTAAAACAAAACAATGAATGCTCATTTCAACATCACCTAGGTTTCAATTTCAGAATTAACTAAACTTGTATTCCACCAACTGTCATGATGGAATTTGAATCTATAACCCTGGGAATTAGCTCAGGCCTGAGTTACCAATTCAGTGATATTATCTCCACACTGTCTCTAGGAAAATACAGCAGTTACTTCATAGAACAGTACTGCACACAAACACTGCCTTTGGCCCATCATATCTGTGCCATCCATGACACCATTCCAAACTAATCCCAACTTAAGTTCCCATTCTATACAAAGCTCTGCCTTTTCAAACTTGTGCCCATGGCACTGGAACCCACTGAAAACAGCTGGCCTGATTGAGTTCCCAGCTGTGCGCTCAAATCCTGTGCAGACCAGCTGGTGGGAGTGTTTGCTGACATTTTTAACCTCTCCTTTGTATGATCTGAGGTTCCCATCTGCTTCAAGAAGACCACTATCATCCAGACACCAAAGAAAAATCAAGCAGCATGTCTTAATGACTACCACCTGGTGGCTTTGATATCCATCATTATGAACTGCTTCAAGAGGTTAGAAATGGCGCACACAAACTCCAGCCTCCCAGATTACTTTGATCCACCACAATTCACTTACTGTTGCAACAGTCCATGGCATCTCCCATCTCCCTTGGCCCTACATTCATCCCTGGAACATCTGGATAACAAGGACACCTAAGTCAGACTCCAAACCCAACTCCACTTTCAACATATTTCTAGCCAAGTTCATCTTCAAACTCTGGGACTCCTAGGACTCTGCACCTCCCTCTACAACTGGATCCTCAACTTTCTGATCCACTGACTATACTCAGTAAGGATAGGCGACAACACCTCTTTCACAATAATCCTCAACATTGGTGCCCTGCCAGGCTGTGTAATCAGCCCCTTACTATTCTCCTTATACACTCCAGACTGCGCAGCCAAATTCTGCTTGAACTCTATTTACAAGTTTGCTGATGACACCCCCATAGTGAGTCAGATCTTCAACAACAAGAAAGAGAGCTTAGTGGCATGGTGTAAACACAACAATCTATCCCTCAATGTCAGCAAAATTAAGGAGCTGGTCATTGACTTCAAGATGCAAAGTGGAGTATACAACCCTGTCTGTATCAGTAGTGCTGAGGTGAGGATGGTCAAGGGCTTCAACTTCCAAGGAGTAAATATGACCATCAATCTGTCCTGGTCCATCCAAGTCGATGCTACAGTCAAGAAAGCACATGAACACCTCTACTTCCTCAGAAGGCTAAAGAAATTCTGCAAGTCCGTCATGACTCTTACCAATTTTTATGGATGCACCAAAAGAATGCATCCTATCCAGATATATCACAGCATAGCACGGTTACTGCTCTGCCTCTGCCCAAGACTACAAGAAATTACAGAACTGGGAATGCAGCCCAGTTCATCACGCAACTAGCCTGCTGTCCATTGACTCTGCCTATACTTTGCACTGCCTCAGGAAAGCAGCCAACATAATCAAAAACCTATCCCACCCTACTTATACTTTCTTCCACCCACTTCCATCAAGCAGAAGATACAATTTTGAAAACACGTACCGAAAGATTCAAGAACAGCTTCTTTTCTCTTACTTTTTTATTAGATTTTTGAGTGGACATTTCATATATCAAAGTTGATACTTCTCTGTAGCAGTAACACTGCATTCACTTCTATTATCTTGATGTACTTATGTAAGGTATGATTTGCCTGTATTGTATGCAAAACAATACTTTCACTGTATCTCAGTACATGTGACAATGATAAATTAAATCAAATATTAAAAGATTATGTAAGCAAAACTGCTCCAACAATAAGTGAGTCAGATACATAGAGTTTTATAGCATGGAAAGAGGCCCTTCAAGCCCATCACGTCCAAGCCAGTCGTCAAAACCTATGCACTCTAGTCCCATTTTTCAGTACTTGGCCTAAGGCCTTATTTGCTACGGCACTTCAAGTGATCATTTAAATACTTAAATTTTGTGATGATTATTGTCTCTACCACCATTTTAAACAGTGAAGTTCAATGATTCCCATCCCTCTCATCTATGATTTTTCAAAAATCTTCCTAAATGCCCTCTAAATCACTTACTTCTTAATTTAAATCTATGTCCTCTGGTCATTGATCCCTCCACAAAGGGGAAAAGTTTTGACCTATTTATTCTGTCTCTACCCCTCGAGATTTCATACATTTCAATCGGTTCCCCTACTTCAGCCTTCACGGCTCTGAGAATAACAGCCCTAGCCTGCTCAGCCTCTCTTCAGAGGTGAATGGCTCCAGCCCAGGCAACTTCCTGGTGAACCTCCTCTACATCCTCTCCAGTACGATCACATCCATTCTCTGTTCAAACATTAAACTGTGACAAGCCTCTTAGCTCTAAAAGAGGAAAGGGGGTTCACAAAATCCAGTCTTCGAAATGCACTGAGTTGTTACCATGGTAACCACCTGGCATCACTGATAAAACAAATTTTCAATATTCGACAATCGACAGCATTCAGACTTTCTGGGATTAGAGTCCTTGTGTATTTTACTGAAGGGAGAAATGATTCCAGTGAAGCTGAAGGGCCACACGCTACACTCACCTGAAGAAGACACAAACCGTGGCGGCGCTCATCCACCGCCATCTTGGTAAGGGCAGGAAGTGACCTCATCGTTGATGATGGACAGTCTGTTCAGCCAATCGGGTGCCGCACAGTGAGTTCATCAGTGGGTGTGAGGGGGAGGGACCCCGGCCCTGGGAGCATGCGCAGAGGACGCTCTCGGAGGGTCGATGGACGATCGGGAGTATTCCCTGACCGCGGCTCAGAAAGCGGTGAAGGACAAATATCCGCCCGTCAGCAAGAAGTACGAATGTGAGTGTAGCTTCGTCTAGTGCCGCCTTTGTGGCGGATCTGTGGGCGGGAGTGACAGGGCCCAGGTCGTTCCCAGTCAAACTGTGGAGGGAGGAGGGATGGTGGCGAGAAGGATTCTGGGTCTGGGGGTGAAGAGGGGGTTGAGATGGAATAGGGTTGGGAGTGGAGTCTAGCACGACTCTTCAAGTTAAGAATCAAACCTAATCCCCTGATCTAAAGTTATAAACATGACTCATTAATTCTCTTGCACAGACCTGCTGAGTTTCTCAAACATTCTCTGTGTTTGGTTAAGAATCAAAAACAAATGTTGTCAGCTCTTCTCAGCCAAGTTAAAAATGGGAAGGGTGCAGTTAGGTCTGGACCTGGAAAAGTTAAGGGGAATGTGCTAATCGCCACCCAGAACATTCAGCCTTCCGTGTATCACCAGACAGTAAAGTATGACATTCCACTAGAACACTGGGAATTATCTCAACCAAGATAAATCGTAGTCACGGTGAGCAATTAAGACACCAGGAAGTGAGCAAATCATCCATAATTGCTTCCAGTATTGTGGGGTAAATTAAACAAATACAGCTCCCAGTATCATTGTTTTCTTTGATATAGTGGGTCATCTTAGTCACCGTACATTATAATCTCATGTATTATAAATCCTTAAAATGACAAGGTTTATAAAAATGACTTTCAGCTTTCAATTTCTGTAACTTTGTTTTTTATTTGTCCTTAGACTTGGACCACACTGCAGATGTACAGTAAGTTCTTAAAATAACTACTTTTTTATGGAAACAGTTAGCTATTGAAAGCCAATTTGGAATACAGTTCTTTGATACTTGGGAAGTAACCTGTAATATCTGAATTTTATGATTCATGTCAGCTTTTATTGCAACTTTGGGATTCCACATTGACTCACTATATAAATTTTGTTGCATCATCTTTCTCATAACAAATGTTTGAATGCTTTGTGTTCCAGATCAACTATTGGTTTTATTGAGCTTTGTATCTTAAAAGTGTATATATAAGCTACCTTCTTCAAAGTATTAAGTTTAATCTTGACATCAACTTAAACTTTATTTAATTGAATTTAAAAAGAATTAAATTTTATCAATCATAGTGATGAAATTACGGGGCTAGGAATTCCAAAATTTATTGTAAGTTTAAACAAATTGTACATGCTGTATTCTCTTTGCAGGAAAATAATTTTATAATTCTCCCAAAATATCAATGTTTCTCTGAAAACTTTGCTGGACTATGTATACTTACAGGAGGATTATCGAAATGGGGAACACATTTAATCTAGTGTTGTGACTGAGGTTTTAATTTTAAGACATGCATATAAAGTGTTCTGCATATTCTACTTGAATTGTGGAACACATGCAGCACCATAATTATAACTTAACTTTGCAAACTGGAACGATCTGTAACGGAAATGTTTTAAGAAATGTCAATATTGGAGTATTTTCAGGCCTTGCTATTGTTGATACCAGTGGGAGCAATTAATATATATTACCTGTTTATACACTTTTTTTTTCATACTGGTTCCTATTAATTGTAATTGGGAAATTTGCAGATATTGTGTATAATGTTTGAGTTGTCTTATTTGTATGCTATATCAACTGATATACAAACAGTAAATATTAGAAATACACCACTGCTCCACAAGCTCTTAAAAGATCAACCAGATCTCCAGTAGTGACTGTTCTTCAAAATTAATTAAAATAGGCTTTGTTACTTTGCAGTCTTTTGTCATACCATTCTATGATCTGATTTCTGTCTGGCTGACCCTTCAGGATTTGTAGTTGAAAGCAATTGACAGCCACTAAGCCACATCATAGTTTGTGATTAGTATAACAGAGTTGGCAATCTGTGTGTTACATTTATGAAACAATTAACTTCCAGTGCTGAAGTCCATGAAATTGCTACTTTTTACAGGTTACATTCATGGGGCGATACATTAGAAGAGGCATTTGAACAGGTTGTAATGGCTATGTTTGGCTATATGACTGACATAGAAACGGTGCAACCATTAACAACAATTGAAGTAGAGGCTGAAGGTAACTATGGTGACGTTCTGTGTACCTTTGAATATATAATTTTTCAATAGACAAAACATTTCCATGACACATTCCCCTTTAGGCTAGTGTGCTTAAGTGTCAGGGCGGTTAGATCATTTCTTTGGTTCCAAATGAATTATTTTGCACGTTTCAAATTCTTTTGAGATGAAGGTATGAGGATACAGGACATAAGTTACTTGGGTTAAGTGTGAGCTTCGAAAGACATTTACTACCCATGAAGTTTGGAGAAGGGGAGAAATGTGAAAGGTAAAACACTGTATTAAACTTGGTACACTTTAGATTAGTGAAGATCCTTTGTGCAATCAAATAATTTTGCTAAAAATAGAATCATTTTCATTAAAAAAGAATTTTTTATAAAGAATTAATTTAATAAGCACTATTCAATCAAGTGGAAAGGTGATCTGGGATGTGATGGCCATTATGACTTTGTCAATCCACAAAATTAGAGGAAGTTCACACTTGCATATTGAGTCCTTGGTCTCTGCTCAATTGCTTGTAGGTACAGAAAGTAACAGTGGGGTACATTCATTAGGAAGGAAGTCAATGGGATTGATGTCTGGTCACAAATATCCTCATCATTAGATGAATGTCCATTAAACTATCAGAGATTCTGTGAGAGAGTTGGTAACATTTTAACCATTAATGGGTAGCAACAAGTTGCTTACCTTACCTGATGGCAAATTATAACAATTTGTTTAAAAAATTCCTGCCAGTGGGTTGGGCAAGCAGTGGCGCAGTTGTTGATTCTACGTTGTCTTTGCTTCAGAAATTTTAAAGTTCATTGAGGCACTCCCTGCAGATCTTGATTTTGTCCTATCCTTTAACAGTCAATTATGCAGATAGTTTGTGTGCGCTGACATTTGGCAGTATGAGTCTTCCACTGCCCTGCCCTGTTCCAGATACAGTCATTGGAATATTTTAGGTGTGGTTCCTTAGTCTGTTATACACGATAGAGGCATTCTGCTAATTGAAGGTGTGGAAGTTGAAATGTAGCCTTACTGCTTTGGTAAGGAGATTCCAATTAAAATTTCTTGTCAGAAAATTGAGGGTATTTTGATAAAGATAATCAGTTACAAGTATTTGCTCTAAAATCAGGACCTTCTTAGTTCCTGGGACTGGATCTAGGCCTGTTTTCAGCAGGTTATACTTTCTGATCAGACATTTTGCTTCCATCTTCACTAGTAGCATCCCAGAAATGGCTGTATATCAGGAATTGAAAAGGTGGGAGGAACTCAAAATTACAATTACCATGGAAGTAATACTGAGTAAATTATTGGAACTATGACTTAACAAGGCCCCAAATCCTGATAGTCTTAAAAGAAGTAACCAGTGAAATATTAATGCATTGGTTCTAATGTTCTACAACTCATTAGATTCAGGAATAGTTTTGTTTAGAATAGAAAATGACTAATGTAACTCCTTTATTCAAAAAGGATGGGAGGTGGAAAGCTGGATACTACATTCTTTGTTAAGTTAATATCTGTCATAAGGAAAGTGTTCAAGTTATTTAAGATGTTATAATGGGGCACTTGTTCAAGGTAATCAGGTGGAGCAGTCATGGTTTTCTCAAAGAGAAATCGTATTTAACCAACTTGTAACTTGTGGTGTAGGTGAAGGGCAACCAGTGAATGTAATATGTTTAGATTTCCAGAAGGCATTTAATACCATGCTGCATCAAATTTTATTATGTAAGATAAAAACCCATGGTGTTGGGAATAATATTTGCTGGAGAAAAGATTGTTTTGCTAACAGGAAACGAAAATAGGAATTTGTGGATCTTTTTCAGACTGGCAGGCTGCCATGAATGGTGTGCCACAAGAATTGGTGCTAGGGCTTCAATTCTTTTTACAATTTATATAAGCGGTTTGGATCAAGGGATCAAAGGTATGCTGAAAACACAAAGGTTGAAAACTGAGCTGTTAGGAAGACATAGGAAGCCTACAAAGGGATATAGATAGGTTGAGTGAGTGGGCAAAGATTTGGTAAATGGAGTGCAATGTGGGAAAGTGTGAAGTTATCCAGTTTGGCAGAAAGAATTAAAAAAAAACACTATTTTTAAATGATAAGAATTTGCAGATCTGAGATGCAGAAAAACCTGGCTGTCCTAGTGTATGAATCATAGAAGGATAGAATGCAGATACAGCAAGTATTCAGGAAAGCTAATATTATGGTTTGTTGTGAGGGGCACTGAATACAAGAGAGGTTATGCTTCAGTTAGACATGGCACTGGTGAGACAGCATCTGGAGTACTGTATTCAGTACTAGTCACTGTACTCACGGAAGTATGTTAATGGATTGGAAGCTGTTCGAAGAAAGTTTACTAATACCTGAAATGAATGAGGCTTATGAGGAAAGGCTAGACAGGATAGGTCTACATCCTCTGGAATTTAGAAGAATCAGAAGTGTCTTAGTTGAAACATAAAAGATCCAGAGGGGACCAACCAGGTGGATGTTGAAAGGATATTTCTTTTTATGGAAGAATCTATAACTAGATCAAAGTTTAAAAATAAGGCAGTGCTAATTTAAAATGTTTCTTTCTGGGAGGGTGGTGAGTTTTTGAATTCCCTTCCTCAAAAGACAGTGGATGTGGAATCCTTAAAATATTTAGAGGCAGAGGTAGGTTCTTGGCTACAAAGGGGATTAAAGATTATCAGAGGTATAAAGGAATGTATAGTTGATGTTAAAATCTGATCAGCTATGATCTTATTGAATGATGAAGCAGGCTCAAAGGGCCAAGTTGTCTACTCTTGTTCCTTGTTCACATGCATAGTTCAACTGGAACTAC